GATAGTTTGCCTGAAGGAAAATTTTAGAGGTGTTTCTGTTTCCAAAGTAAGTATGTTGTTTATGAAAGTAGACACACTAACAAAAACTTAGTTTTATCAGTTACTTGTCTAGTGCTTTGACGTTCTAGAGACAATTACTAAAAATATGAAAAATTTGTGATTTGTGTTTCAATTTTGTGAGCCGCAATGGTCTCGCAGCTAGATGTGAGCCTGAGGATCGGAAAGTCAGGGCCATACTTTAAAAAACAATGACCTTGGCGACCTAGCTTTGAGTCTGTACCAGGTACAGTCCTGGGAAGTAAAGGCAGCTGGCATGATGCTGACCACATCACCCACCAAGTCTATTTTCTATAAAATATAGGTCTAGTCCTATATTCACAATACGTCTGAAGGTGTGTAAAAAAGTCCTTTACTTTACTTACTTTTAATTTTAAAATGTGGAATTTTTACTGAATGTATCATATAAATGCAATTTATACTCAGCACTTTTTAGGTCAATTTCAGGACTATAACTCAGAACAAAAAAAAAATTCCCATTTATGGCAGATCTGTGTAGTGCTGGATATGCTTGCAGTCAGTGTTTTGTTGTCTGATCGCTGGAGAACACAGTTGTTGTTTCAGCATTTTTGACTAGTTTACCACTTGGGACATCAGTGAAAGGGGGCACTACGTACATTTCCCACAGTATAGGAAAATTATCATAACCTTAGGAATAAAACAAAATTAGATTCTGTCCCATGATTTACGGAGGCGTGCCAAATTGACAAATGGATTGAGAAAGTGGGTAACTACAATAAATACTAATGAATAAGTAAATGATTTTGACCTATCTGCTGAAGATAGATTAGTATAAAAGTTCTCACTTTCAGGTTCTAGAATAGCACAGGATATGTACACGCTCACAGAACTGTTCTCTTTTCTAAGCCTTGTGTACAAATTTAACTTTTTTCTTCATATTATTGTAAGTTTTGTTTAATTTTCTATATATAAATTTTGCTTATTACTTTTTTATTTTGAATTATTATATTCCTACGGTGGTCTTAAGCCAGCACCCGCCTCCAGGAGATTTACAGCAAAAGGGTACCAACACAGAAACTGCAGCAAACAATTCACAGCCCTTTTAGGTATTAATGCAAAACAACAACAATTACTAAGCATATTTATTAAATCTTCTGCAGGTTTCTGGAGACAGGGCTGCACCTGGGAGGAAATTACAAGTTTGCCTTGATGAAAATGTTAGTGGTGTTTCTGTTTCCAAAAACAAGATGCTTACTTCAGTACATCCAGTATTTACTGAAATAGAGGAAAGGGATTTAGGTGCAGTTTTATGCAGTTTATCACTTATCGGCAGTGCTACAAGGTATCATTGTCTGAGTTTGTTTGTTCTGTGTGAACGTTTGTAATTACATTGTTTTATCACAGCATGCACATATACTGTTCCTTTCTATAACTTTGGGCCAATTCCTTTATTTTGTTCTATCTTCTGTAGTATTTTCAATATAATTTACTCTTTCATCAGTATTTATCATAGTTTCCCACTTTCTCAGTCCATTTGTTGCCTATTAGTTCCTGTTTTGTGATTCTTATATATGTGTCTGCGTTGTCTCAGAACTGTTCCAGTATGTTGTCATCTGTTTTGTTTTGTGACTGTTAGAGATAAAAAAAAAAACTAAGGTATTAATTAAAACTACAAAAATGTATTAAGAAACTGAAGCTGAAAAATCTATTTTTGTTTGTTAAATTAGTGACTAGAAGTATGTAGAGTGATAAAATCAAATCAAAACTATTAAACTATATTCATTCATTGGTACTTACACAAAGTGGGACTGCATTGTGATATAAATAACAGCTAATGGAGAGATGTAAGTTTCAGTAAAAAAAGATCAGAGCAAAATACAACCACTAGATAAAACAGCAGCGTCCGTGGCTTAGGCGTTGCGAGTCCGACTCGTGAGACCAGCATACCGCGATCGAAACCCACTGCATGCTGCGTGGATTTTTATCGTGGTATGGGACGTCGCAGGTCGACCCAGCCTAAAATGGGTACCAGGATGGGCTGTCCTGGGAAAGTAAAGACAGCCGGCGTAATGCTGACCACATTACCCACAGAGTGCTGATGGTCTGTAAAAATATGGGGCGCTCTGCCCATATGCCCGATGCGCCGAAAGGCATGAAAAGGGAACTTTTACTTTACTAGATAAAACACAAGAAAAAATGTGCTGATAGCCTGGAAACCTCAGAGTAAAAGAAATATTTGTTAACAGATCACACTCACTACATGATAAACCATTCAGCCCATAACTGCTCAACCTCCTCAGCTTGAAGCTGGAGTGCATCTGCCGGAGAGGCAAGGAATCAACAATCTGCATACATGTTAGTCAGACTTGTTAAACGGATGTTTACATCCAGGGAATGTGAATAAGAAGATATGATAGGCAAAGGGACAAGGGCACAGAATACTTTCTTATATTATAACATCTTCTTTAGCATCTGGTCTCCCTTGAGGTTTATTATTGCTAATATATTACCTGCACCCATTCATTTTTGAGATTTTATTTACTACATAGTAACCCCCAAATATTTTTAAACCTGGCTGTATATTGGCATTCCCCAGTCTTCTTTGTCTGCCTTGTGGTCGTCTTCTTCTTCACTTCCTCTTTTACCCCTTCAGGTGTCAAGGGTTCTGCTTCTTTCTTTTCTGGCCACATCAACCATGAACACATCATGATGTTTCTCTGATGTTATCTTTCCATATTATTCTTAGTTTACCTTGTGCTCTATGTCCCTCTCCTCTTTTGATGTATGCCTCATATTGTGTGGCATCATAAGTCATTCTCTTCAAATGGGCAGACCATTAGATCTGTTGTCTCTGTATGTAATTTCGACATGATTTTACTCTTTTGACATCATCACAGGGATGGAATGAATATACTTTGTACGAAATTTCTTTGCGATGACAGGGACTGTCTTATGTTGTCAAAGGGGAGCTAGCTGTCCAAATACTTGGTTTGCTTTAGTGCATCAGAGGTTAATTTTTGCCTTGTATTCTGCTTTTATTTAATTCAGCAGTTTTGGCTTTCTGTTAACTGTCTTCACTCATTCCCAATCATATAAATATATTAAACCCTCATGATGCCTATATATATATATATATTATGTGTCAGCTGTATATACCATCCCATATACATATCATTGTTTGCTTTCAGTGAAGCAGTTAATGAGTCTAAGAAGAGGATGAAAGCATACCATGACCAGCAAAAGATTTCCACGTACCGCCAAAACCGGCCGTGTGAGAGAATGGAGCTTAAATACCTCGTTGTCATAGACTTCGAAGCAACTTGTGTCCCTGATGATGCCAGCTTTGAACAAGAGATAATTGAATTCCCCGCTTTTCTTGTGGATGTCCAGAATCAAACTGTTGTAAGTTTTAAATGTAGTTATCATTGTTTTATCTCTCACTTATGTAAGGTGCAGAAAAGGGAGACTAGTGATAGCTTTGTACTATCCTAGTGTGTTTATTCTTCTGTGTGTGCCCTAAATATAGGCGTTTGGCACATTGTGTTGTGATTTACAGCTAGATTGTGATATCTGTACCTTTCGGATGTACTTTAATTCATACATATTTTCATGAATATACATTACATATTAATAACATGTATATAGATCTCTATATGCAACAATAAGAAGGAGACAGACACTAATCTTTGGCCATGAAAGGAGAAGAGAGGCATTGGAAAACATTCTGACAACTTAGAAGATCAGTGGAAAGAGGCTCTAGGGCAGACCAAGAGAGATAATTATGGATGGGCTGAAATGATGGCATGGAGGGATATCTTCATCTTCTTCTTCGCGTTCACCAGCTGTAAACTCTGGCAGAAAGTTCTGGTTGCTCGTCCACTACTGAACTGCAGTCCTGCTCCAGAACCTGAGTGTTGCGTGTGCATCAGTTTTACAGATCTCATTCTCTTGAATACAGACTGTTGGTTCCTTGCCTCTCCGGCAGATGCACTCCGACTTCAAAGGAAGCTCCCCAATTAGTCGACTCTTACGACATGCTTTTGGGGAGGCAGTGGGTCTATTCTTGTTTTCCCCACAATGGGGCCCCGGAACCCACACGGGGGATGGAGGGATAATAATAAGAGAGCTGTTCCAAGCAACCAGGGATCGTGATCTGTGGAGATGCATGAGCACCTATTCGTAGTAAATGTAGTAATACCACAGATATGTCACAAATAAAAATGGTTGTGAAAAGAAAAGGAATGATATGCAATATTACTGTTCAATCAAAGTGAAAATTCAAAAGCACAAAAGAGAAATATATGAAAATAAAAGTGGTAAAGGATATCTGAGTGAATAGTATAGCAGAACAGTATCCACTGCACTAACTCGTAAAGGGGGGGGGGGGGGGGGGGGGGGGTCTTGGGAGGTTTTTAACACTGAGGGGGAAATACATGGATTTGATCATCAGGTTGCAACCAGTACTGTTAACATGTTGCCTTTCTATTAGCTACTGAGGAATGAGTTGGAACATGTTCACGGATATCTTGAGCGCAGTGATGTAAGTTCTTTATTCAGTCATTCAGAAGATCTAAGAATGCTAGGTCAGTAAAGCCTGATCTGAAAGTAAGTGCTAGAAGTGGTTTCCAATGCAAAGACATTCCAGTTATATTGTTCTCTGGTTTTTCAACGTCCAACGCCAGCATGAGGGTTAGTGTTAGTCTACAGTTGTGGATTAAGATACAGACTGTCAAGCTCTAGAAAAATAAATACAGCTTTAGTTGTTAGAAATTGTTTTGTTAATTAAAGTTGTTCACATTGTTATATTGTAGTATCTTAAAATCAGTGTGTGTTCCTTGTTTAAATATCCATAATTGTTCTTTTTTTTTTCATAGCTTGGTTCCTTGTATGAGTATAAATAATTATTCTTGTTTTTATGCTTTTTAAGTGCATGGTTCCTTGTATAAGTATCAGTAATTATTCTTGTTTTCGTGGTTTTTCAGTGCGCAAACTTTCACAAATACTGCAAGCCTAAAGTGAACCCAATATTGTCAAGTTTCTGTACTCAGCTGACGAACATTACGCAGGTATTGTCTCAATTCTTTAGCTTTATGTGTAAATGTGTTTGAGGTGAATGGAGTCATTTATCATCTGCTGATAAAGGTAATGACTGCAATGATTAGGGTTGTAATACCTCATTGTCTAGTGGGTGTTTAATGTGTTTGTCGTGAATGTTCTTATCACACACTCTAAGTTACATAACTGGTACAAGCCGACACCGACTTAGCCGCACGAAACATCAGTTTATTGGCATGTTATAAATTACAGCTGAGTCCAGTCGTTGTCCTAATAACAGCTCTCGCACACCACCTGACGCAGCCTTCAACTCGCAGGTTCCTCACGCATTCACTGACCAGAGTCTGCCCTGATGCATCTCGTTGATCTTCTGGACATTACACAGAATGGCCTGGCTGATCTTGACATCACACGTCGTTGTCTGATTCTCCTTTTACCACAGCAATCTCACGTTGACATTCATACGCTCAGACTCCCGTCCTTTCGCTCCAACAAGTCGACACAAACTAACTTGACCAGAATCAAGTCTGAACTTATACCACTGGTTAGTTTCACGTGGCAACACGTGGTGGTCCTTTACTTCCACGTGGCGACCTTTGGTCGCGTCATCGTGATACACGTGATAACTGGTGGTCATCACCTATCTCAAGATCCTCGTTTAATCCGAGTATCTGGAATATCTCTGTTTTGGGTTATTCTTGGGCCTACCCCCCAAGCTTCCTAATGTGGGTGAAAATATCCCCCATTACATGAATGATGCATTTGTTTGTTTGAATAAATTGTTCTAACATAATTGTAATAAAATAAAAGTGTGTGTTCATAAAATGGAATTTATACCCAAGGCCTTCATTAGTAGTTCATGTCTAGAATTTAGCTTGGTTGTTCCAGGTGTTGCATTTACAACTATTGTCAGGATCTACCTTATGAATGGAAGGAGTCATAATTAATACCTGTCTGTAAGAAAGAAAACAATTAATAATAATACACATACAAATGTGAAAGTTGTAGAGTGATATCATAATTGTCTTATCATCATGTAGCAGGTCCTTTGCAGAACAACGCTCTCATCACGGTCTCTCGCCAGTTATCCCGCCTCATGTACTTTCATACTCAAGGAGTCACTTATATCCTGTGCCCCTCCTTCCTGGTACCATGCCTTCTGCTATAATTTTTCCAATCCGTCGTGGTGCTTGATATGACCAAAATATTTCATTATTGTCTACAAGCTATAAAATTCTATCAGTGCTACTGCTGAACACACTGAAACCATATACATAGGATATGTTAGGTGACTACATGGTGGGTTTCTGAGAGAACAAATCACTTGTTAACTCCTAATTTAGCTCAGGCAGCGCTGTTAAGCTACTTTTTTCATTTTCCAACTGCAAAGGAATTTTTACATGCGCAGCACTACACACGGGCATCCGATCCCACTATCCAGGAACCAGGGGAAATTACTGAGAGTCCACGTAAAACAAATCCCAACCTTAGCCGGGGCCTGAACCCATGACCCCAGCACTTGAGGCGGACGCCATACCTAGAGACCACGCAGCCCCCTAACTGAAATGAGAAGAGTTATATTGAGTTACATTCCTGACATATGGAAGCAAATCACAGTAAGCATAAATTCAATGTGGGTAACACATTTTCAAAATTTTTCTAGGCACAGGTTGATGAGGCCAAGGATTTCACCGTGGTGTTGAAAAGCTTTGAACACTGGCTGCGCATCAACCGTCTTACCAAGTCTAAACAATTTGCAATTGTCACTGATGGGTAAGTTGTTTTATGTGTCAGAGGTCAGATAATTCTATGTCTTGATAAGGAGAGCATATAACATTTAGTTATTTAATCATTTATGGTAAGGACATATAACAATGGTTACTTATTTGTGATAATCCTGCATGCCACCATTGTGTCACCTATCAACTGCCACAAGTCTTGAACAATTTTACTTTCCTTACAGAGATGAGAATACAAATTGTCATCATCATGTGCCTTGCCAACTGGCGTAGGCACTCATGCGTCTCCACAGATCACGATCCCTGGTTGCCGGATCAGCTGTCTTGATGATATCCCTCCATACCATCATTTCAGCCTATCCAGCATCATCTCTCTTGGTCTGCCTCTACCCCTTTTCCACTGATTTTTCCAGTTGTCACGATGTTCCCTAATGTCTCTCTTCTCATTATGTGGCCAAAGAACAGTGTTTGTCTCTTTCTTATTATTTTATATAGAGATCTACTTTCATTAGCTTCTTTCGGACTTCCATTCTCAAAATGGCGGACAGCAGCTGTGTTTATTTTTGCTGGCTGTCAATTCTCTCAGATTATTCTGTTCTATAATCATGGACTGCTATTTTATGCGCATTTCCAACGCAGGATATTATGTGTTTTTCGTGGGAACAACGTGTATTGTGGTTGTGCTGTGTCGGGGCGGGATAATGACTGATAGTTTTGGCAGCCTCGGCCACGCTGCCTTCGCAATGTTTTGATCGCAGCTGTCCACTCGGGAAGACAGAATCTCGTCAGCAGGGGACTGCAACGGTCTAGAGAGCAAACTCGATAAAAGCTGTCCCCAGAAACGGAATGTGTCAACCATATATTTGGTGGGGAGGAATCAACACATACGGTTAACTCAATGGCCATGGCCATTAGCTTCTTTCAAGCAGTCGTTGTTAGTTACTCTTGCCGTCCAAGGTTACATTGTCAATGCCAACTTAAGGTTACCAATGTCAGACATAGAGATTAATAGACAACTAACCACTTATGAAGTTAGATGGTTTGAGACAGTCATAGGGGGAAAAACCAGAAGAGGTCATGTTAGAAGTAACTTTGAGATGAGAACTATTGGAACGATACATATTGTTAAATTCATTGAGAAACAGAGACTGAAATGGTCTGGCATAGAATGAGAATGGACTCAGCAATGCGAGAATGAGAGTGCACAACATGAAAATAGAACACCAGAGCAGCACCCAGAATTAGATGGGTCAAGTAAAGTTGCAGATAACTAAGGTTTTAGAATCACATCATAGCAAGCACTTGAGCTCGTTTGATTTCTGGTCATCAGTTTTGCAGTTCATTAAAGAACAACAAGGGAGGTGGTGACGAGAATGCCTTTTTACCAACTGTCACAGAGAGCCACGCTGAAAAAATATGATGAGCCCAGAGCAAGAGAAAGACCACGCAAGAGATGGAGCAACATCATCAGGAGCAAACTAACAAATTAACACCAACATGTACAATGTATTGGAAAAGCGCACAAACGACCCTCACATCTTCCCCCATCACCTCGCTGAGGTAAATGGTGGAAGTCAAGAAGTAGAAGTTTTAACAGTGACACCTAGTGGCACAAACTGGATAGTGACAAAAGATTTTATCTATGATGCCTGCAGTCCTCATTTTAGCATCTGCCCTCAACCAGATCATGCCTTCTGTTCTGTTTTGCTCTCTGAGACTGTCTACATCATTATTTTTGACCCTCTTGTGATGTTAATAGTACATGACTTTCTGACTTTACAGTTTAGTAATCATGTTATGACTTAATTGTTGGAGCATTAGGATTCTGGGCACTGAAAAATAGCCTTTATAGGTTTTGGGGAGTGCAGTCTGTTTGTGAACAGAGAAAACATATAAGAATGTTTTACTGCAAATTATATATATTGGTTTAAAGGTATGATTTACTAGGGGAGATACAGTGGTGGTTACCCCTTGCCTACAGCCAGTTTGTTTATGGTTTAACTCCAGTAGCCTTGGTCTAAAGAGACATACCCTGCAAGGTATGGCACCCCTTGCCTGCCGATGGCCATGTATGCTGCTGCCTAATTTGTTTTCATTGTGCAGTAAATATATAATGAGATCTGTCACAGATGTGCCAGGAATTGTGGTTGGTCATCATAACATAAACACCTTGTGTTATGCTGATGACACCGTCTTGATAGCTACAAGTCAGAAAGAACCCAGGAATTTATAGATAGGGTTAGCGACAAGTCAGAAAGAACCCAGGAATTTATAGATAGGGTGGTGGTACTAAAGTGATTAAATGGGCCTCAATTTGAATAAAGGGAAGACAGAAGTGATGGTGATTTCCAAGAAAAGAAAAGGACAGGCCTAAACTACCTTTAATAAAATAAACATTTTGTGCAATTAAACCATGTCATTGTAGGTTGGGAAAAACTTCTTGTATGCTGTATAGAGCCAGTTTTAACATACGGCTGTGAATCCTGGACAATTAATAAACAAGCCGAACAATATCTTGAGGCCTTGAAGATGTGGCTTTACAGAAGAATTCTTGGACAGCTAAAAAAAGAGCAACCACGATGTTTATTTTTAAAAAAAGGCAAGTGCTCGAAAAAACTTACCACAAACATCAGAAGGAAACTGCAGCATGTTGTAACCACAGGAAAGATTGACAGAGGAAGACAGCCTGAAAAGATTCTTGTGACAGCCTTTTGTCATGGCATGGAAGGGTGTCAACACATGAAACATGCAGTTGCGGATTGTGTTGAGGCATGATCATCCATGTCACTCTGCAAGGCACTTGATGGTGATATTTATGTATGTGTATACATCATCATCATCGGGTGCCTTGCCGACTGGCGTAGGCGATTATGCCTCTCCATAATCTGCGATCTCCTACAGCAGGTATTAGTTTGTGTGCTGACACACCTCCATGCCATGCAACAAGACTGTCAAGAATCTTCTCTTGTTGTCTTCCTCTATTCCTCCTTCCACGGATCTTTTCAGTGGTCACAACATGTTCTTTTTTCCCTCTTCTCATAACATAGCCGAAATATGATGACTGTCTCCTTCTGATGTCTGTGATAAGTTGTCTTCGGGCGCCGCCTTTTTCTAAATCTCTTTTTGGCTGTCCAAGGCATTCTAAGCATTCTTCTGTAAAACCACATCTCTGAGGCCTCAAGAAATTGTTTGGCCTGGTTACCGATTGTCCAGGATTCACAGCCATATGTTAAATCTGGATGCATGTAGCAAGCAAGAATTATTTTTCTAACTCTCAATGACAGCGATATATTTCACATGATGTTCTTCATTTTATATGTGTATATATGCATACATAATTTATAGATCTTTTCCATTGGTGTTTAGTTTTCCTAGTAGTTTAGTTATTTCCTAATTTTTCACATTGTTAAAAGCTTTCATATATTGAATAAGAATGAGTACAGATCAGTTTTTACTTTGACAACTTATTCTGAAAGTGTTTTGAGGATGTAAATGATACTGTAATTTTTCCAACAATGATTTAGACGACTTCAACAATGTCAGTGAAAAAAAAAATTCAGCACATTGGAGATGTTTTATTGGAAGTCATTTTGTGTTTGTTTGTTAATGAATGCTTTCTCTGTTACAGATCTTGGGACATGGCCAAATTTTTCAAGTTTCAGATAGAACTGGCTGGTCTGGAAGTTCCTTGGTGGGCTAAACGGTGGGTTAACATACGGAAAGTTTTTAGGGCCTACTACGACACTGACTATGTAACTCTTCGGTATATGGTGAGCCATTTTGGCTTGAAGTTTTATGGAAGACCTCATTGTGGCATTGATGATGCTATGAACATAGCAAATGTAGTGATTGAGTTGCTGAAGGATATGTGTATTTTTACATACAATGAGCATTTTGAATAATGTAACATTTTTGACAGTTCAACGATTGGATTTGTTGATGTGCTATTGGAAGGAAAATAGACAACAGTGATGGCATGATAAAATTCTTTGCGATAAACATAAAGTCAAATTTACCATTTTTAACTTTGTCTCTCGCATTTTGAAAGATATTTATGTCTCGTTTTTTTTATTTTGGCTGTCAATTTATTGACCAGAAATGATCTTTATCACTAGAACGACTATGCAGGAGAGCTGTGTGTGCCAGCTGGCTCAGTATTAGCATTACTGTTTAACTGAATGTATTTTTAATATGAAAATTTGTAACTTCTACAAATGTATGGGTGATGATTACATTGATGCTGCTCATTTTGGTGGCAGTGTAATTAAAATTAAAGTGGTTATCATGAAAGTTTTGTGGGGTCAGGTCTTGATTAAGCTAAGTGCATAAATGAAAAGATTTTTTAAGTGGGTTATCACTGGCACTATTTGCATGTCGACTCTTCTTGGCTGCTTAGCTACTTTAAGTGCACATGGAAATTTCATGAAGACAGTGGTGTCAATTCTTGATTGATTGGTTTGTTCTAGGTGTTCCTGATGTTGAATTGTAATTATGGAAAGGAGATAGAAACTGAAAAACAACTTTTTTTAAAGACAACTATAATTATCATACCATTAGCTTGTAACCTGTCAGTATTGTTGAGTGTTAAACACAAACATAGTGACAGGTTAAAGATGGCCAAATGGCCGTCTTACGCTTGACATGCACCAGAGAGGAGCAGCAGTCTGTTATTGGTATATTTTTTCAGTGAAGGTGCTTTTGATGGTAGTGAACCCAGGTTTCATCTCCAGTAACAATTCTTCTGCTTAAAAAAAATCAAGCAAATGTTGGCAAGCATCAGCATGGCATTGTTTCAATTTTGGACTAAGCTGCCATGGTCATCTTCAAGCTGTCTTAAAGGTGTCACCATGTTCCTCTGCAACATAATATCATGTGCTCAACAATATTGACAGCTTTGCATGACGCTGGCATGGCCATTTAAAGGGCCCCATTGTGGGGGAAAACAAGAATAGACCCATTGTCTCCCCAAAATGCATGTCGTAAGAGTTGGCTTATTGGAGGTTTCCTTCGAAGTCGGTCAGAGTACATCTGCCT